ACGTTGGCGAGGGGTGGCGGCGGTGGACCAATCTTTTTGCGTCGCTTTCCAGGTAAAATCGGGTCGTAGTCGGGGTTGACGATTTTAATAAGTTCTGGGATGGTGGTGTGGCGGTGCGGGGTGTCGCGCATAAGTTTGACGACGCCTCCTGGGATGGGTGGGGAGAGGGTCGGGTCGTCGACGTACTTCATTATTACTGGACGGAAATAGCGCGTGGCACGTTGAGGTGGAGTGAAGCGGACCGGGGCGGTTGCCGGCCGACGTTTGGTCATTTGCTTTTGTAGGCGGTTGTTGTTGTCCGTGGGTTGGTCGCGCGACTGCGCAAGCTTTGCACGGTTTATCAATTCTAGTTGCGATACCATCTCGGCGGTAGTATCGGACAATCGGACGGTCCCTGAATGGGATTGGTGGGAGGCGGCTGTTGATGGACGATCGTTTTCGTGCATGATGGACGTTGGATATATTTCTGAGAGTGGTCTGGTCCAAGCGGAGGAGTTTCGAAAATTTGGGCGATCTTTTGGCGGCTTGTGTCCTTTGATGGAAACACTTTTCTCCGCCAACATGGATGCTTCCGCAGAAGGGATTTCAGACGGTTGCTCTTCCTCGTTGTCCTCCCATTCTTCTGCACGTAGCGTTTCGTCCTCCCTTGCTGCGCGTTGTTTGTCAGGTTCTACGTCTTTGGTGTCATTTTCTGTGCTATCTTCGGCCACGTTGGGGAAGCCAAAGGCGATGGAACCTTCATCCATTGCTGAGCTCGCCCCGATTACGTGAGTTACCTCCTCAGCTACTCCATCCAAATACTGAAGAAGGTCAGGCTCCTGCCGCCCATAAACGTCAAAACGCCGTTTTGCCAATTGGCTATAATGGGCGTAAGGAGCCGCGACGTCTGCATGTTTCGGCCAAAATCAGCAGACGCTCAAAATCTGCTGTAGAGAACCATGAAACTCACTCGCACGCTCCAAGCCGTTGGCAGTCCGGCGATCCTGCAATGGTACCATCGTGGGTCAGATATCTATACGATGGCACATCTTATTTTTTTTTTGAACCATCGAACCTTAATATATTGCATAACGGATTGAGACAGACTTGTCTCTCCGCTTGTTGTGCCTGTCTATTTTTCGAATTTGAAAGACAAAACATTGTTGAGGGGAGGCAAAGAACCGGCCCGGCATTGACTGCGCACAATAATCTACAAGCGTTACCATTCGATTCATCTCCCTTTCACGCTCTGACGGTAGCGCTAAGGGCCGCGGCCTGGTGGCAGCTTCTGCCAGAGCCATACGCGCGGAACCATCGTCGTCGGACATCTTTTTCTGGATAAGTGAGCGGGTTGAAGGGGGTCGAGCGTTAATTGGATACCCTACTCCACAAAAGGCGCGTGTGTGTTATGTAATAGCTGAGCAGATTTCAGCCAATGGGAAGTTTTGTATTCGCCCATTAGGGACGCCACATTCTGTTTCCAATGGGCCATCGAGTGTTGTCTTGGTTGCTTCTGCCTTCCTCATTCCCCAAAACCGGGTCTTGTCCAATCTGTTGCTCACCAGCTCATAACAGGAGAGAGGACAAAACATGTTCAAGAACGTATCACGCTTCTCTACCCCGCTGTCGGTGAGTAAAGGTCTCGCTCTTTCTCGGCACCCACTCTATTTCCAAATCGCTAGGTTGCTTGGTGGGATTGGAAGATTATGGATTGGAGAGCGTGGTCATCTGCACTTGCGTTGCAGTTGCAACGCGACTGTATTGCATATTTCGGATCGTGGGGAGGAACTGTTTTGGCCGCAGAGAGAGTTTGGTCAATTGGCGACAAGCTTGTGTTGAACACTTACACGGGTGTGGGGAAAAGTGCCCGGTTAATCGCGAGATGCCGTGGTCTGTTGAGGGTCCGGTAGAACGACGTAGATGGGCGTGACGACGGATGTGAAACTCTGGAATGATCGTATTGGAAACGGTGCCCAACATCAACTCAGAATCTGCACATGCTCATCTTCTCGTCATACCGCTTTTAGAGGTCCTTTACCTCCTCGGCACTTCGATGCGCGGCCAAGCCTGGTGAGTTGAACATTTGTATTGGAGACTATAAAACAGCAGGGTCTGACGTTCAGATTTTAAAATAGGAACTGCTGAGGTTACCTCCATCCTCGAGGAGCGGATCCTTGGTGCTGCTCTCTCGGTCGATGTCCAGGAGACGGGTCGTGTCCTCTCCATTGGTGACGGTATTGCGCGTGTGTATGGGTTGAAGAACGTACAAGCCGAAGAGATGGTGGAGTTCTCGTCTGGTCTCAAGGTATGAAAAGATATTCGCTGCCTTTTTTTATTTACAATGTCTGATTTTGGAGCGATGCATTTAGGGACAAGCGCTGAACTTGGAAGCGGACAACGTCGGTGTTGTCGTGTTCGGTAATGACCGTCTCATCAAGGAGGGTGACATCGTCAAGCGTACTGGTGCGATTGTGGACGTCCCCATTGGAGAGGGTCTCCTCGGCCGTGTCGTTGACGCTCTCGGCAACCCCATCGACGGCAAGGTATTTTCAATGTTACTATACCAGATCTTGCGGATGATTTTTTAACAGCGACTTTGTTTATTCCTTCAGGGTCCCCTCACCAACGTCAAGCGCTCCCGTGTCCAGGTTAAGGCTCCTGGAATTATTCCCCGTCAATCCGTCCGCGACCCCATGCAGACTGGTATCAAGTGCATTGACTCCATGGTGCCTATTGGTCGTGGTCAGCGTGAGCTTATCATCGGTGACCGTCAAACCGGAAAGACCGCTGTGGCTCTCGACACCATCCTGAACCAGAAGCGATGGAACACCGGAAGCGATGAGAGTGAGTATTTTCCATGAAAGAAATAGCAGGTTTTAGGAGGTTTTTACCAATTCTTACTTTTAATTTATGCAGGCAAGAAATTGTACTGTGTGTACGTTGCCGTTGGACAAAAGCGTTCCACGGTCGCGCAATTCGTCCAAACGCTTGAGGAGAACGGTGCGTGTCAAGGGTCATATTTTTGGTGCTGGGATGGTTCTGTTCGATTGATCCAATGTTGCTCTTCCAGATGCTCTCAAGTACTCCATTGTCGTCGCTGCCACCGCGTCCGACGCCGCTCCTCTTCAGTTCTTGGCCCCATACTCCGGTGCTGCTATGGGAGAGCACTTCCGTGACAACGGCAAGCACGCCCTCATCGTGTTCGACGACTTGTCTAAGCAAGCCGTCGCCTACCGTCAAATGTCCCTCTTGCTTCGTCGTCCCCCCGGTCGTGAGGCTTACCCGTAAGTCGCCGGCAGTGTTTTGTTTTGGGGGCTGTATTTGAATCATTTCTGATGATGTTTGCGTACTGTAGCGGTGATGTGTTCTACCTCCACTCTCGTCTCCTCGAGCGTGCCGCCAAGATGAACAAGAACTTCGGTGGTGGTTCCATGACTGCCCTTCCCGTCATTGAGACCCAGGGTGGTGATGTGTCCGCCTACATTCCCACCAACGTCATTTCCATTACCGACGGTCAGATCTTCTTGGAAGCCGAACTCTTCTTCAAGGGTGTCCGTCCCGCTATCAACGTCGGTCTTTCCGTGTCGCGTGTCGGTTCCGCTGCGCAGGTCAAGGCCATGCGTCAAGTCGCTGGTTCGCTCAAGCTTTTCCTTGCCCAATACCGTGAAGTCGCTGCCTTCGCCCAGTTCGGTTCCGACCTTGACGCGTCCACCCAGTTCTTGTTGAACCGTGGTGCCCGTCTCACCGAGCTTTTGAAGCAGAAGCAATACCAGCCCTTGTCCGTTGAGCACATGGTCGTGATCATCTACTCTGGTAAGTTGAATATCATCCGAGGACGGCAATTTGAGGTCAAACGCCCTTTTTAACCTCTTTTGTTGCGTAGGTGTCAACGGTTTCCTTGACAAGATCCCCGTCAACCGTGTCACTGCCTACGAGGCTGCCGTCATTCCCTACGTCCAAGCCAACGCACCCGAGATTTTCGATGCCATCAAGAAGGAGGGTGTCATCTCTCCCGAGGTGGACAAGAAGATCAAGGACGTTCTCACCGAATTCACAAAAACCTTCCAGTAAAGGGGATTGTTTTTCAATACACTAGATAATTTGCAGAGGCGCGCATGTCGGGTTTGAGTGGGAATGATGGTGCCCTCTTATGTTTAACTTCATGAAAAAGAAAACCCCGTCTAAGAGGGGCGGGGAATCAACAAGCACGCCGGAAGGCCAGCCTTCCATTCTGTTTGAACTTTCTGCTGCTGGTGCTTGGTTTTCGGCTGCGCTTTCTGTCAAACAAAGTAAGACCCATCTGCTGCTTGTTGGGGCCTCCCACCTCCTGCTTTCATGATCGGCCTCTCAAAAACAGCAAAATAAAGTCAACTCCTTCTTGTTGTTCCCCTGGTGGTTCTTTTCCAATCCGGCAAAGTAAGTGTTCATAAGTGTTCACATCATTCCCAGTACTGGGGAAACAACTGCTTGATCAACAAACAACGGTTCGAAAGGCGTGTCAGAGAACAAGCAAGGGGGTTTTCACACAAAGATCCATTGATGAATTTCTCATCCAAAGTCTTATTAAAGTACTAGGGAGACGCGCTCTCCACTCTTGGTTACGCACCCGTTCCCTAGCTACGGTATTGTAGTCCTTGGCACACACCAGCAGTGAAGCTGTTGATAACATACAAGTCTTGTCGTTTTTCTTCACCCTTCCTTGTTCTTGTTCACTCCGTGCTGCCTCCTCTTGATTGCAGAGGATATCAGGGTGCAGTCGACCGTTGTATACCTTGTGCTTGTGTCTTTGACTCTCGATTTGCTGCGCGGGACTCTCCACCTTTTATACCCGCGTCAAGATTTAAGCTTCAATCACACAAATGTGTGTAACAAATTTCCTAGAAAGTGAAAGTGGAGTGTAACCGCGTTCCTAAAAGGGAGAAAATTGTGTGTATCCGCCTTCCTAAAAAGGTGAAAATGGCAAAAAAATGCTTAAAGCTTCATATGCTGCCACCGCTTCGCCCATTTCACAAGAAAAACTAGCTATTAGCTCAGTCGGTTAGAGCGTGGTGCTAATAGATTTGTAACGCCAAGGTCACAGGTTCGACCCCTGTATCGAGCATAGCATGTGTATTGGAACGCATTTTTTGGTCTGCTATACAAAATGAACTATTATTCGAATCACTTTCACGCTCTATATTTGATTTCTCGATGCATCTATTTCTTTTTTTCTGGTTTTGGCCTTGCGGGTTGGAGTCTGTATTGCTGAAGATAGTGAGTATTATATAG